ATTATTTAAATCTGATCTTGTTCATTTTGTTACTTTTATTTTTTTTTTTTTTTTTTTTTGCTTTTGTTATTGTCTGGTCTGGTATCGATCATGTTTAAAGTAGCTTTTTTAGTTCACTGATATTATATAATTGGAAATTCAAACCACCTTTGTAGAGCAATTGATTGCTGCTTGGTTCATTATATACATACCTACATCAAGCTTGTATTCGAACCCTTTCTTACTTTTAAGTTTTAATCCCCGGCTGTGAGGTAAAAACTTTGTTTATTTTTTAGTGCGTCCAATGTTAATAATTTTAAACTTTTAATTATTAAAATGATATTTAAAAGAGGTGAAAATTTTAAAAAGGTTTTTTATATTATTATTAAAATTTTTAATATTTAAAAATTACATTAAATTTTAATTAATACGGAGTTGAGATGCATCAGATTTTATAAAACAAATTTCTTTTTATACTTATCTTTTTATTTATAAAAAGTTTTTTTTATTCTATACCTTTAGGGTATAGAATAAGAGTGTTTTTCTTTTTTAATCAACATAGAATAAGAGTATGATAAATATATTTTTATGGGATTAATTTTTATTAAAAGTATAAATATTAAATTTGATTTAATTAATTAAATTCATTTATACATGTGTCAAGAATATTAAAATATATGTTAATTTTTATAATTTTTTATATAAATTAAATATACAAAATTATATTTATTATACTTTTATCCTATATCTTTAAATAAGATATAAATTAAATGAATTTATTTATAAAATTTAAATTCAAAATATTATCTATAAAGATATAATTTTTTTTCCCTGAGCCCAAAAATTTTACGTAGTTTTCCATCAACTTACAAAGTCAAATGTCTGTGGTCATATATGTACATGATCTTAAAGTCTTAGTCCACAAGTAGCATAATAGCGACAGATTTAGAAAGAGTATTTTATGCTAATTATCATTTTTATAAATTGAAATCTTTGTTGACCAAGCAAATATTTATTTTTAATTATTAAGGGTAATTATGTCAGCTGGTGACGGAGTTATGCATTTGCTTTGTATAAATAATAGTACAATA